ACACACACACACACACACACACACACACACACACACACACACACACACATATATATAAAGGAATGTATAGAAAGAGAAAGATGCGAAAAGGGTAAAATACCACATGTATGAAGCCTCTGATTGAGGTTGGGGGTGAAAGAGCAGCCGTGTATTTTCTCTCTCTCTCTCTCTCTCACTCTCACTCACACACACACACACACACACACACACACACACACACATGTGTTAAGAGCCACAGGGAGGAAGAAGAAAAAAGAGAAGAACAACAAGTCATACTTTCATCCCACACAGAGACGTATAGAAACAAGAACAGACACATGAAACCACATAAAAAGAGCCACGCAGAGACAAAAGGGCTTCAGGTGAGCCAGGGTTCAGGGAGTCACACACACACCTGTTTACCCTCCACACCCACACAAACAGACACACCTGTGCCTCCACACATCACACACACACCTTTGATGGTGCTGATGACCTGGTCCAGGTGTTTGGTGTCGTTGCGGTCTGGTCGACAGCTTGGGCTGATCTCCAGCGAGTAGTCAGGTCCATACTCTGTGAAAAACTAGACATCACATCACAGCGATCATTACGACGTCTCCTGGATTGATGGATTTGTAAAATGTCTCTTTTCTGTTATTTGAGTCCTACTTTCATCCCTGACATCTGCAGCCGAGCGCCAAAGTACGCTCTCTCCTCTTTGACTCTTTCTTTAAAGAACGCAGCTGCTTTCCTGCAAGGATTCAGGCTCCGTTTGGACTTTGAAGAGTTGGATTGTGAAACTTGACTGGTGATGAATATTTACAGGCTTTCAGAGGAAAAAACCTGATGCTGTCAACTGTTTTGAATTTATTTTTATAGATTTGATCCTGTGTATTATGGGTTAAATAAATCTATTTAAAGTAACTGAAGTATTAAAGTGTAACTTTGGTATTCTTCAACCTATTTCCCATGTTTTTGTGACTCCTCTCCGCCAACGTATGTCCACTAAAAGTGCTCGTTTGTGCCGCTGACAAGCTCTGATTGTTATTATATTATATATTTTTAACATCATGGCTGAGCTGATTTCTACAATGTGGATGAAGCCACGAGAGTCCAGAACGAGACTTCTCCGAGCGAATGAACAGACCGGACCAAGTGGAAGTTAAAGAAAAACACAGTATTTCTCCGAAGGGTTCTTTCCATAATGTAGTCAGACACTTGATAACAATCTGAGCCTGTCAGTGGAAAGGAAATAGCACTTTTAGTTGGACGTTAATTGACGGCGAGGTGTTTTGGACCAAGTTCAAAAGTTTCATCACTTGGGGAAATAGGGTCCAGGTTGAAACATACAGAAGGAACCCTGAAATGTAGGAGCAGAAGTTACAGTTTTCTCCCCTTCTAGACGTTGGTGTAGTGTTTTTAGTTTAGCGTGTTAGCATTCTTAGACTTGTTGCAGCCGAGGCTGACGGGAAAGTCATTAGTTTTGCAGGTATTTGGACGAGTAACGATATTGATCTGATGATGGCAGTTGATCCAGAAGTCTATGACAAATATCACGGCGATCCGTCCGATAGCTGTCAAGATAACTCTCCTCAAACACCACAAATGTGAACCTCATGGTGGCGTGAGAGGGAAAGTCAAGGCTTCACCGAAGTCAGATTTCGTGGCTGAGATGTGAGATGTTTCAGTCCGTATCAAAGCGGCGAAACCGACCGGCATTCCCGTCCCTAGAGCCAGGCTGCTGGTGTCACTAATGAACACATCAGAGCTTTCAGACAGACACATGTTCCTTATATCTTCTGACGTCTAGGAGTCGCATTAACACAAACAAATGTATGAGACGGTCTCATCTGGTTCACGTACAGAAATAAAATGAAAAGCAGAAACCACAAGTCAGTCAAAAGCTCCACTGGACCGCCTGGGCCTCACCGAGAAGAAGAAGAAGGCCTGAGATGATTTCAGCACATACCAAAGGCTCCTGGCATTTCACGCAGAGACGGACTGATTCCATGAAACAAAACCTGCCAATGTGTACGAGTAAAGTAAAAAAACTAAAACAGGTGGAAACCCAGAGAGTGGGTTCAAGCAGAAGTTCAAACCCGAGCATGTCGGTTTAGAAAAACATATTTCCAGGGTATTTGTTCGGGCCGTGACTCAGTGCCATGAGAGCAAAACAAACTCGGAGGCCAAGTCCGACCACAAGTGCGTCAGTCCGTCTGCAAGCGGCTGTTGTGAAAGCCTCGGACTCTGAGGACTCAGCAGAAACACACCAAGAGGAGCAATAGCACCCATATTCCTCCAGACAAACTCTAAATATACGGACGTTTGTCTCTCAAATAAAGTTTGGAATCATCCGATTGTAGGCAAAAGTGGAGCATGAAAGTTGATTCTAAGAAGGCTGGAACTAGCGACGGTAGGGCAAAAGTGATGAGCCTTTAATTTAAGCTTCTGACCAGATCTAAAGATGGTAAACACCCCAAAATAATGTGACACTGCTCCTTTAAGTTGGCGGAGTGAGTCTGTAAACATCCCGTAATGATTTCTGCGCTAATGCCCCCATTTTAAGACGGGAATATCTGGTTTTGGATTGAACCCCTTTAGTGGATTAGATGTATGTCATTAGAGAAGACTTCAGAAAAGTCTGTATTGGCAACACACACACACACACACACACACACACACACACACACACACACACA